TGAGGAAGGACTTGCTGGCGTTTGGGTGGTACCCTATTTGTGATCCTCGCGATGTTACCAAGTCCCACCACTTTTTGATGCACTCCACTTTTCCTGCTCCTGTAAGGTCATCAGCATATGCCACTTGTTTGACCCCAGTTGTTTCAAATTTTATTTCTTGTTGGAGCACTGATAGGCCAATTGCATACATTGCCATTGCAACGGGGTCCCCCTGTGTTGTTCCCTCGGTCGACTGTAGGATGGTATCACCTCATAGAGCCTTGTTGTTTACTATGTAGAGGTCTGAAGGATTCCTATACGAATTTTCAACATACATCGCAAAGCTTGGACACTTGATCTTGATGTTGTGCAGTGCAGCCTTGCGGTTAAGTATGTTGAATGCGTTTGAAGCATCCACCAGGAGAACGGCCTCACAATCACGCTGCTCAAATATCAATCTCATGGCGTGAATGGCCGCCTCCCCACCAGCCTGGTGGCCAGCACACACTTGTAGGTTCCCTGCTGCTGCCTTGACATCATCCCACCTCACCACCTGACTCCTGAACAAACTTCTTCAAATCTTACAATGTGCTTGGCAAGCTCAAAACACACACACACATATGGGAATTAATACAACAAGCATCCAGTGAGGGTCTTGTCGTGTGACTGCATGGAGGTGAATTAAGATATCAACTGTTGAGGAGCTTATCGCTTGGTAACACTGGTGCATGTTAGACTCCTTTTCATTCCCTCTCTCACCCACACCTTTCTGTTTTCTCACTCCATTTTTTAAAATGTTATGTAACGTACTGTTGAAGGGATACAACAATTATATTTATCACAATCTCCCTAAAAATACTTTAGTTTTCGTGTTTTTTTAAGATATTATCAGGTCATGAGACACACTATTCCCTCACCCAAGAAAGGGTGACCTGACATTCCATCAGAAGTTCAGTAATATGAGACCTCTAATCCCCCACCCTACCTCCACCTGACATTGAGTCAGGTCTGGTCAGGTCAGGTCCACCCCCAAATGCTTTAACTTTCACCTTTGTTCATGACATTTTCAGAAAATTCTCTTAATTTTCAACTTTGGAAAAATTTTTCCTAAAGCCGGAAATTTGGGGGAAAATTACAGCTTTTGGAATGATTTTTCCGAGCATCTCACAGTCCGAGAAAAGTGAATTCCAATATATTGAAGTCTGATTTATCGGGGCTTTACTGTACTGTACTTAAAAATTTGGCTCAAACAATTTTGAGCTAGGAGGTTGTGAATGTATTGGTGTGTATTTTTTTCTCATGTTTCTTAGAAATGACAAAAAATATCCATTTACCTATACTTGTATTATTCTTTTTTGTGGGGGCTTATGTTGCTGAACAATCAGTTACGAAGCCAAAGATATATGGTTTATGCCATTAAAAGCAAGATCTGGGGGAAAATTGATAAAGCAAAAAAATATATATACTGTACTGTACACCGTGTGCTGTGTCGCCTGCCCTGGTGGCCTCAGAGATGTGGTCTTGGAACTGGATAACTTAAAACTTATCTCTTGCACGAGAGGGTTAATATGCAGTCATACCTATAGGACCCACTTTTCACTGTATACTGTACTAATATTGATAATTGTACTTTTATTACAGGCACTCGAGCATTTAGCAATGTCACTTCAGGACTAGCCAAACTAAACCCAATTTCCAGTTTACGTTTGAAGAGACCAACTTCTGTGGCAGGTCGCCAGACTACATCACAGTTTTATCTTCAGGTAAAGCACAGGACTGTTAATTTTTTACATTTATATTAGCATGTATGATGGCTATTATAGTTGTAGTGCTAGGCAAAGTAGGAGCTTATGAGTTGTTATGTTCAATAGACAAGTACAATCTTGCCAGTAGACCTGTTTATTAGGGTGAGGCAGGTGGTCACTAATAAGGGTGAGGCAGATGGTCACTAATAAGGGTGAAGTAAGTGGTCACTAATAAGGGTGAGGCAGGTGGTCACTAATAAGGGTGAGGCAGGTGGTCACTAAAAAGGGTGAAGTAGGTGGTCACTGATAAGGGTGAAGTAGGTGGTCACTAATAAGGGTGAGGCAGGTGGTAACTAATAAGGGTGAGGCAGGTGGTCACTAATAAGGTTGAGGCAGGTGGTCACTAATAAGGGTGAGGTAGGTAGTCAATAATAAAGGTGAGGCAGGTGGTCACTAATAAGGGTGAAGTAGGTGGTCACTAATAAGGGTGAGGCAGATGGTCACTCATAAGGGTGAAGTAGGTGGTCACTAATAAGGGTAAGGCAGATGGTCACTCATAAGGGTGAGGCAGGTGGTCACTAATAAGGGTGAGGCAGGTGGTCACTAATAAGGGTGAGGCAGGTGGTCACTAATAAGGGTGAAGTAGGTGGTCACCAGTGGCAAATCCTGACCTAAGATCTTGAGCTCCCTATTTTTTAGAGTGGGGAGAGGGGTGCTGTACCTAGGTGGTTTAACATTAAATACTATTTTTAGATAATATGATAATAAAAGCTTTCAAGTAGGCCTGTGCATGCCATTGTATTATTAGCTTAGCCTGCTACCTATTCTCTCATTTAAATTTAAAATAGGTTAAAAAAGGAATGGAAAAGTATTAGAAAGGACGAAATAAATTAAAAAAACAATTTTATTGTATTTTAGTATATAAAAGTGTACAGAAGTCTTACCTTTCTCCTTCTCCTTGGTTTCTTTTCCCTCTTTCTTTCCCTTTCAGACGTTCACTTATAAACAAACTCCATCCTCCTATTTTTTCAATAAATTATTCAGTCACTTCATCATAAAATGTATGCTTCATTTTCAAGTGCCCAAGCAGAGTTTTTTCAATTGACATCAATGCTAAGGATGACAGATTTTGCTGCCCTTGTGTGCTTCTGCAGTAGGTCTTGATCCTTTTTAAAGCAGAACATGTCCTTTCTGCAGTTGCACTTGTGGCAGGTATAGTGACAATCAACTTCGTAAGTTTATACACTTCAGGCATTTCCAGATAGAGTTTAGTTTCGTGCTTGATTTTCATCAAATAAAAAACAAGCTTACCTTTGAACTCTGGGGAAACGTAAAGAACACTTAACTCAGGCTTTCCTTTGAACTCTGGGGAAATGTAAAGTACACTTAACTCATTCTTCAGCCTTACAGTATCAAAGAAAGATCCATACTGCTTCTCCAAACTTTTCACTACACTATCAGGAAACTGCTTACAATGTTTTTCAAAAAAGTTGCTGTTCAGCAAAGAGAAGAATTCGAGCTGTGTGACTGTCTGAAACCTATCTCTTAATTCAACTAAACTGTTATCCAAGATTTCATTTTACAGAGCTCTGCAGCCTGCTTCTTCTAACTGCTCACTTCTTCTGGGTCTTTTACTTGGGTTTTCATCATTTCTTCCTGGAACACTTTCCTGAAAAATCCTGTCGAAGTCGTCTTCACGAATTATCTTAATTTTTCCAATCAACTCTTCAACCTTTTTGGAGCAGTAGGCAATGTCCATTCTTTTTGTTTGAAGAATGTCGAAAAGAACATCCATGAAAGAAAACTCTGAGGAAAAAACATTCAACAGGAAGTGAGTGTGGAATTTCTGGAGGAAAGACAAAAATCCTTGGCCCTTTAAAACACAGTCATCGTCCCACGTTGCAGATTGATCAAGTTTGTGATGGAAAAATGAGGTCAATTGGTCATAATATTCTTTCACGGTGTTGACCAGTCTTGAAGAAAAATTCCATCTTGTCAGCGCTACTCTGGGTAGTTGTTTCTCAAGAAAAGCTTGAAGGGCAAATGTTCTCTTTGAAGACTTTGAGAAAAATGCTGCTAAACATGAAAGTGTCTGAAAAAAATTTCTACATTTCATGATTTTTTTTGCTGATTGCTGAAGCGTCAGATTTAGCAAATGGCTGTGACAGTGCACAAATATAGCACACGGGTGCAGTTCCTGTACTTTCTTATTTAAACAGTTTTGTTGACCAGCCATAACAGCAGCGCCGTCATATGTCTGAGCAACAAGTTTTCCCCCCCACAGTTAAAGTCTCTCAGCAGATGTTTAACATGCTCCAGTAAGCCTGCTGAGGAACGATCAGCGCTCACGTCTGTAAAATGAAGAAATCTTTCTTGAATTTGACAGTTTTGGTCAACAAAACGAAAAACAGAAGAGAGCTGTGACTTATTGATTATATCAGACATCTCATCCAAAATCAGTGACACAAAATCAGTTTTCTCAACATCTTCTTTTATTTGCTTCGTGATTAAGTAGCTGATTGCAGCAATCAAATCATTTTGAATGGCGGAAGATGTACCTCGGAAAATAGTTGATTCTTTCAAATGAATTTCTCACATCGGATCGTAATAGCTTATCAGTATAAGTAGCTCTAAGTAATTCCCTTTATGTATAGACATATCTGATTCGTTATGGCCTCGAAGAGGAAGTTCTTGCTTTGCTAGAAAGCATACAGCATCAATTAGTCTTTTCAGGATTTCCCGATTTTTCTTAACTTTTTCATTGTGCATTTGGTCACTGACGCGTTGTTGTTCATCAAGCTGATGATCAGTTCTCGTTCTTCAGAAACTATTAAGTTGCAGAAAACAGTTTATGTAATTAAAAGATTTCTCGTGCCTAGAAGTAGCCAATGACAAAGTATTCAAATTATCAAAACCAGTTTTCAACTATACACCGTGATCAGTTGAAAAAAGCAAACATGACCAGCAGAAGAGTTTGTTTAACTTATTTGAGCCAGTCAACCTATTCTTGCTTTCGTACTGCGTGATATTAAAGTGCCTAACATATTCTTTATTTTTATCTGTATGCTTCTTTGTAAGTCCTGGAATTCATGGACATGGTCTACGTTTTCCTAAGATTTAAATTTTCTCTGAAATGCTTCTTCTCCAAAATGGCTTTTCCAGCAGTTCCTTAACTAAACAAGTGTCCTCTTCTACCACAGTTTCCATCGCAAGTAGAATATTTATAACACTATAAGTCTATAACACTTGGGTAGCAGAAGCACCACAAGACACACGAGCGGAAGAATGTAAACAACACTCATGACCCACACAGACTCGTGGATGGAGCAACACTTATGCTCCACGGCCTGGCACATCATATCTACCATTTCACCGTGGTATGACCTTGACGTCAGCGAGCTAAGCGCAATGGCTTTCATCGAGGTGAAACAGCACCTACCGATGCGCTTGGGAGAGGAGCTAGCCCCGGCCTCGCTCCCTTACACTGTGCTGTTACTAAGCGCTAGGCTGCATTTTAGAGTATAAATGTAAATTTATTATTTAACATGAATAAACAAATAAAAAGCTTTGAGCAGTGAGCATACGCCGCATGCCTAGCATGCTCAGAGGATTCGCCACTAGTGGTGACTAATAAAGGTGAAGTAGGTGGTTATTAATAAGAGTGAGGCAGGTGGTCACTAATAAGGGTGAAGTAGGTGGTTATTAATAAGGGCAAGGCAGGTGGTCACTAATAAGGGTGAGGCGGGTGGTCACTATTAAGGGTGAGGCAATTGGTCACTAATAAGGGTGAAGTAGGTGGTCACTATTAAGGGTGAGGTAGGTGGTCACTAATAAGAGTGAGGCAGATGATCACTAAAAAGGGTGAAGTGGGTGGTCACTAGTGAGGGTAAGGCAGGTGGTCACTAATATGGGTGAGGCAGGTGGTCACTAATAAGGGTGAGGCAGGTGGTCACTAATAAGGGTGAAGCGGGTGGTCACTATTAAGGGTGAGGCAATTGGTCACTAATAAGGGTGAAGTAGGTGGTCACTATGAAGGGTGAGGCAGGTGGTCACTAATAAGGGTGAAGTAGGTGGTCACAAATAAGGGTGAAGTACTACACCACGTGAGGCCCCTCATAACACCATCTGTGAGGGAATTACTACACCACGTGAGGCCCCTCATAACACCATCTGTGAGGGAACTACTACACCACGTGAGGTCCCTCCTAACACCATCTGGGAGGGAGTTACTACACTACGTGTTTGCTGTTCAACACCTACAATAATCTGTATGTTCACTGTATGTTCCTTTACCTTTCTCTAATGAAGGCTTTTGTTAAACCACTAATGTATGTAATAAGTCATTTATGTCCAATGTATATTTTCAGCCTTCGGGCTGCAGAACTTTTTCAATAAACCGTCAATTATTATTATTATTAAGTAGGTGGTCACTAATAAGGTGAAGTAGATGGCCACTATTATGGGTGAGGTAGGTGGTCACTAATAAGGGTGAAATAGGTGGTCACTAATAAGGGTGAGGCAGGTGGTCACTAATAAGGGTGAGGCAGATGATCACTAAAAAGGGTGAAGTAGGAGTTCACTAATAAGGGTGAAGTAAGTGGTCACTAATAAGGGTGAAGTAGGTGGTCACTAATAAGGGTGAAGTAGTGGTTCACTAATAAGGGTGAAGTAGGTGGTCACTAATAAGGGTGAAGTAGGTGGTCACTAATAAGGGTGAAGTAGGTGGTCACTAATAAGGGTGAAGTAGGTGGTCACTAATAAGGGTGAAGAGAGAGATCACTAATAAGGGTGGGGAAGTGAGGATTCACTAATAAGGGTGAAGTAGGTGGTCACTATTAAGGGTGAGGCAGCAGGTGGTCACCACAGCAGGGAGGCAGGTGGTCACCATTAAGGGTGAAGTAGGTGGTCACTAATAAGGGTGAAGCAGCAGTTCACTAAGGGTGAAGTAGGTGGTCACTTCACAAGGGTGAGTGCAGGTGGTCACTAATATGGGTGAGCAGATGGTCACTAATAAGGGT